GTAAGCTGTAGAGCCCCCCCCCCCGGTCCCCGGTCCAAAACAGTCCAGTGGCACCTTTAAGACCAAGTTTTATTCAGGTACAAGCTCTCCCTCCTCTGCGAGGACAGATCTGCACATCCCCGTCCCCCCAATAGCTAGCAATCCAAAACAGTCCAGTGGAGCCTGAGCGGTGGGTGTTGCCTTCTGACACACTCCCAGTGTTGTCAGGGGGTGTGTCATATGCAAATAAGTTATGCTAATTAGTTATGCTAATGGGCTCCTGCACCTCTTTTTCTACGAAATGACCTCTGGGCAGAACCATCGTCTGGGATGGAAGGCCTGCTGTTGAGTAATAATGACCTCCCATCGAGGCTGATCCTAGAGTCCTTAACTGTTTTCAAAAGAAACCTCTTCTGTGTTTCAGGTTTGTTTTCTGCTATTAAGAACCTGAAAGCTGCTAATTTAAAAAGAGAGAGAAATCTTGGGTTTCTGAGCCAACCACCATATTAGCAAACCTGTTCCCAAGTCTGGGTGGTGGCCAGGCAAACAGATTCTCTAGAACTGTGTGAGTCAGCATGCAAGTATTTGAGTCAACATCCGGAAGCTTGTCTGAGATCTCGTGGTTATCAGTGTAAAGGTTAAGACTGCTCTGGTGACGTTTAAAAACCCATCGATGTTCTGGATGCAGGAGGGGTGTGTGTGGAGTGAGCCATCGGTGCCCTCTGACTTGACTTACTAGGGTCTGATCCTGCATACAGGCAAGGGCCTGGAACAAAGGCTGTGGCAGAGGGGGAAAGGAAAGGAAACCAAATCGAGTGAGACCTCAGTGACACGGTGAGACAAGGACCGATTTTATGGCTTGAGCACTTTAGGGCAGGGGTCCGCAACATGGTGCCCATTGGCACCTTTCATGGCATCCAGCAAATGTTTTAGCCCCACCCACTTTCTTTACCCATCCGTGCTTCTGATTGGCCAAGGCAGACCTGATTGGCTAAGCCAATTAAAATAATATGGCTTCAGTGGCAGCTAAATTACCCGTCTTCTCTCCTGAACTTGGGAGTCCGCTATGTGTGTGACTCCACCTTCTGCCGCAGTCATGTTGTAGTTGGCTCCGCCCCTTGCTCTGTCATCTTGGTGCTTGGGGGGGGGGTCAACAGTGGGAGGGCTTCTAATGTCCTGGCCCCACTGGTGGACCTCCTGATGGCAGTGGTATTTCTGGCCACTGTGTGATACAGAGTGTTGGACTGGATGGGCCTTTGGCCTGATCCAACTTTGGCATCTCTTATGTTCTTATGTTCTTATTTTGTGTGTGTGGCCACTGCCCCAGGTCAGAATTCCAAAGGCGCTCGCAGGCTCAGGAAGGTCAGGGACTCCAGTTTTAGGGTCTCTCCTCCTGATGTGCATAATTTCAATAGTAAACTAACGGTGGAAGTTCAGTCATCACATTTTGGGTATGTATACAGTCCTCTTCACAGAACTGACAGCAGGGCATAAATGAAGGGGATCAGATTCCTAACTTTATTTATTTGCTTCGTTTAGAAGATCCCACCTTCCTCCCTGACCGGGAGAAAGCAGCTCACATCCTTCTCCTTGCCTCCATTGTATCCTCACAACAACCCTGTGAGGTAGGCTGGGCTGAGAATGCGTGACTGGCCCAAGGTCGCCCAACACATTTCCATGGCAGGGTGGGGAATCGAACCCGGGTCTCCCATCTCTTAGTCTGACATTCCAACCGTTACACTACACTGGCTCTCTCTTGTCCTTGCTTTTCAAATATTTATTTTCCTACAGAATTCAATAGCAGCAGTAGCAGCAACAAATGCTGATTTCTGGCTCTTGTAATCTCTGGGGTCCTTCAGCACAGATCATTCATTCCCATTCGGTTAGCTTTCTCATTGATGAGCCAGGAGGGCCACAGAATGGACGGGACCTGGAGCAGAAGGTGGCTGTGGAACTTCTTATGCTTCTTCCTATTCTGCACCTGTCATGATCTGGCCTGTGCCAGTATACTGCCCCAGGTCAGAATTCCAAAGGCGCTCGCAGGCTCAGGAAGGTCAGGGACTCCAGTTTTAGGGTCTCTCCTCCTGATGTGCATAATTTCAATAGTAAACTAACGGTGGAAGTTCAGTCATCACATTTTGGGTATGTATACAGTCCTCTTCACAGAACTGACAGCAGGGTATAAATGAAGGGAATCAGATTCCTAACTTTATTTATTTGCTTCGTTTAGAAGATCCCACCTTCCTCCCTGACCGGGAGAAAGCAGCTCACATCCTTCTCCTTGCCTCCGTTGTATCCTCACAACAACCCTGTGAGGGAGGCTGGGCTGAGAATGCGTGACTGGCCCAAGGTCACCCAACAAGTTTCCATGGCAGGGTGGGGAATCGAACCCGGGTCTCCCATCTCTTAGTCTGACATTCCAACCGTTACACTACACTGGCTCTCTCTTGTCCTTGCTTTTCAAATATTTATTTTCCTACAGAATTCAATAGCAGCAGCAGCAACAACAAATGCTGATTTCTGGCTCTTGTAATCTCTGGGGTCCTTCAGCACAGATCATTCATTCCCATTCGGTTAGCTTTCTCATTGATGAACCAGGAGGGCCACAGGATGGACAGGACCTGGAGCAGAAGGTGGCTGTGGAACGTCTTATGCTTCTTCCTATTCTGCACCAAAAACATATGAATGATATGATAGTCTTTCCTCCCCACACCACATCCTATATGCATTTTTTCTTATCATCAACCAGAAATCTGGACTAGCAGCTATCGGGAGGGGGGCCCTTCAGAGACAAACTTGCCTCAGTTTTTAATTCTTTCTCTTGCAGGAAATGCACTGCTTCTAGCCTTTAAGAAACTGGTACGGGAGAAGAGGCCTGCAGCAAAGAGAGGCCAAATAGTGGAGATGGGAGATGCCACGGCAACAAAAGCAAATCTAGACTATTCAGGCCCGGTGGGTATGGTTAACCATGAATTTTCCACTCCTGAGAAGCAGGGGCACGCAAACAAAAAGGAGCACGCAAACAAACAGGGGCACGCAAACACGTCCCCAAGCAGAAATCGCCCCACGAAAAGGCAAGCATCAGCCCCCAAAGGTAAAAATCCCAAAAGAAGGATACAGGAGACACCGCTGATAACCAATCTTGCTTCCAGGCCACAGATGTCTCAGTCACTCTTGCAAGGAGAAACATCTGGAGGGCAGGGAGTTAACACCGTGTTTGCAACCCCCAAGCCCCGTAAGCACAAGAAGAGACCAGGGCAGCAGGACAGACCCCCAAAGCTGAAGAAGCAGTCATCGTTGCAGGGTGAACCTCCCATACTGAGAACTACACTTGAGGCAAGCGTTGGGCCTCCCAAGCTGAAGAAGGAACGGCCGTTGCCAGATGACACCCCTCCTCAGGAGAAGAGCCAGCCCCAGGAGGAAAAACAGCAGCCGCCACCCGTCAAGGGGAGATTCCCTGAGACTGCCATCCCAATCATCACGTGGCACCCGCCGTTCAGTGCCTCGGTGCTCTCAGACCTCGCGTGTCCAGACTGCGGGCGGGCCTTCAAGCAGAGGGCCGACGTGCGCCGTCACCGGTACGTCCACACCAAGGAGAAGCCGTATGCCTGCAAGCAGTGCGACAAGCGTTTCGGCCACCCAAGCAACCTACACATCCACCTTCGGACGCACAGCGGCGAGCGGCCGTACAAGTGCCCGGAGTGCGGGAAGGCCTTCACCCAGAGCTGCAACCTGCGGACGCACCGCAAGATCCACAGCGGGAGCAAGCCGTTCCGCTGCTGCGTTTGCAGCAAGTCCTTCCTCCACCGCTCCATCCTCACCGTCCACCAGCGCGTGCATACCGGGGAGCGCCCCTACGCCTGCTCCGCCTGCCCCAAGCGCTTCAGGAACAGCTCTTCCTTGGTGCAGCACGTGCGCACGCACACAGGCGAGAGACCTTACGCATGCCAGGTCTGTGAGCAGAGGTTCAGCCAGCGTTCACACCTTGTCAAGCACACCCGTGTCCACCCAGGTGCCACAGGGTCACCGCCCAAGTCCTCTCTGGACCAACAAAAGGGCATTCAACCAAATTCCAAAGACTCTTGCGGAATAGCACAAAGCAGCTGAGTAACTGACCCAAACCCCCACCTGATTGGACTGACAAAGTGCTCCTGGTAAATAAGGAACACATTTTTTTAAAAAAAAGAAGAAGTCCTATTTCAAAACATAAGCGCTTATAGAAACTGTAGACAGTCCCCTCTTTTCAAAAAGGAGGGCGTGCCTCTTTCAAAATGGTACCTGCTGCAACAAGGATGTCTTCTAAAAACCAAATATGCCCTTATTTTTCCATTTTGGAAGCATCGTCTTACTCGGATTATGGATCAAGGAAGATTCCATTAACTGGATGATAATAATAGCATAAATAATAATAGATGATAGTGGAAGAAATAACGGACAATTTGCTCGACTTGAATGGCACCAGTGTTCCCTCTAAGCTGAGTTGGTGTGAGCTGGCTCACAGTTTTTTAGCTTGCGGCTCACACATTTTTGTCTTAGCCCAGGAAGGATGGCTCCAGAGCAAACCAATTTATTCAGTAGCCAAATCGCTTGCTCACAACTTTAATGCCAGTAGCTCACAATGTGGAATTTTTGCTCACAAGATTCCACAGCTTAGAGGGAACATTGAATGGCATCCGAGGAAACCACCTCAAGGCAGGGCCAGCCCTGGCACATAGGAAGTGAAGAACGGCATATTAGTTCAGAACAAATGGTCCACCCAAATAGGCACCCTCTCTTCAGACGGCAGCCAACCAGATTCGACAAGGAAGCTCACAAGCCAGGTGTGATGCCTCGATCTCTCCGTATCCCAACCGTTGGTCGCCAGAGGTGTGCTTGTGTGACGGATGGGGATTGCACGTCTTCCCGGAACTCTCATAATGCCTTGTTGGTGCTCCAAGCTTTTAGGTATGACTGTGGATGAACGGGTTTGCCCAGAAGTCTGTGAGGTTGTGCTGGGAAATGATATGCAGGTGTGTTGATGGCCCGTAGAAGAAACAGTCATCTCCAGCAGACCAAGTAAGGAAACTGGGGGAGGGAACGTGGTGCAGTGGGGCAGCACATGCAGAAGGTCTCGGGTTCCACTGCTTGTCCTCGCCATTGAAAAGGGACATTGGGCGCTGCACGAGACTTTTCTCCACGTGGCACTCTGCCGGTCGGAACAGACAACACTGAACTCGTAACCCGCTCCCACTGGCAGTTTTCCCTGACTTCAAAACGTTTACTATTTTGAAATACAAACCGCTGGAATTTGGGGAGGGGGGAGAATGGTCTGACTGTTGTTATTGTCATCGCTGTATCTCTTGTTAATGTTGCCCGGGGTTGTATAACAATAATACAACGTGAATGGAGGACAGAAACTTGCATACAGCTTTGATTTCCTTGGAGGAAGGTAGGATAAGAACAAGCCAGATAGGGAGATAGATAAAATACATCACCGTGGCTGTTCTGGGAATGGCTACTTTGTGGTTTCACAGTAGAGAAAAAATGGGAAAGAATGAAGGAGTGAGGCAATCCGAATAGTACAAATGAGGGGATGTGGCCCAGTACAGAGTACCAGCATAAAGGTAACTAACCATCATCAATAACTATTGCTTTGAAAAGTTTCCCAAATTTCTCAGAATGCTTCAGGGCTCCAATTTATGTGGGAACCCTTCTCTTTGTTCTTATAGAATATTGCTTCATGCCACTCCTTTGTGGAGTTGTATAATGATCTTTATAGGTGGAATCAGCTCCGACCTTCAGCAATTAATGATGATTGTCTCTCCGTGACTATTCCCCAACTGTATTAGGGACTTGTTAATAGTATATAACTTTAGAAGAGATTAATGTGGCAATTAATTCATTTAAAAAAAGGTTTGGCACCTAGATTAGGTGGGTTCAACATCAGAATTCTTTAAGCATTATAAAAATATTTTGACACCCCCCCCATCTTCTTCCTCTATTTAATGATCGTGGAGGGTTCCCCATTGCCTCCTTCTTGTTTGGAAGCTATATTAGTTTCAGGGGTCATTTCGTAGAAAAAGAGCTAGGGGGACTCATTAGCATAACTCATTAGCATATGCCACACCCCCTGACATCACCGGAAGTGTGTCCTCCCCACAGCCGGCGGCGACCTCCAGCGGGCACCAGCAGGGAGCTCCAGGCCCCGCCCTCCCGCACCTCACCCAGGGGGGATGGCGTCCCCCCGCGTCCCCCCCCCAAATGACCCCTGATTAGTTTTAATACCAAAATTAAATAAAGATCCAGCATCCAGGGAACCTTATGCCCGATTTCATTGATGAATACAGTCAGATTATAAAATGTTCACTAAAATATTAGCGTCTAGATTGAGAGTTTGTATTCTGACATCAGTAAATTCAGATCAATATGGTTTTATTCTGAAACATTTTATTGCAGATGCAATCAGGAAAGCCGTGGGTCTTGGAATATCTATTCCAAAAAAACTAAATAATATGTATCAATATAACTATAAAGTATTGTGGAGGCAGATAAAACTGAATCTAATTAGACGGGCTAAGCAGAAAATCGCTGTGACTACTCGAGTTGCAATGATTAAAATGTCTGTTTTTCCAAAATTATCTTTTCTATTCTATGTGTTACCTCTTTATATTTTAGATAAGGTTTTGAAGGATTGGCAATTAAAACCAGATCAATTTATTTTTAACTCTTAGAAATCCAAGAATGGCAAAACTTCTAAGGTATCACCCTATTCGAGGAGGAGGGTGAGGCATTCCAAGTCTTGCTTTATACTAGGATGCATATCCATTGAGACATCTAACCCTTTGTTTATCCTTCTCTAAGGATGTAAGTTGGCTAGTGTTAGAGAGAGTTAAATTCAAAGAGACAGGGGAATATATCACTCAGGGCTATTTTTGGGCAGGAACGCACAGGAACGGAGTTCCGGCTGGCTCCCAAGTTGGCCACGCCCAGCAGGAACTCATTAGCATAATAGGCCACACCCAACAGCAGAAACGCAGTAGGACTGGCTACATTAGGGGTGTGTGGCCTCACATGCAAAGGAGTTCCTGCTACAAAAAAGGCCCTGGGTTTTGACAACAAACAAGGTAAACAGAATAACAAGCAAAAGGTGGGTTTGGCTGAATGAGCACACTTCTGGTAACATGGGGGTGTGGCCTAATGTGCTAATGAGCTGTGCTGTCAGGGGTGTGGCCTAATATGCTAATGAGTTCCTGCTGTTGGGTGTGGCCTATTATGCTAACGAGTTCCTGCTGGGCTTTTTCTACAAAAAGAGCCCTGATTATCACTCATTATACCTGGCAGCCAGCAGAGGGATCCTTGGTCCTTTCTGAGATCTTCTGTCACCTGGAAGTGATGTCATCACGTTGCTGACCTCAGCAGGTTGATTCTCTCGTTTTGGGGCAAAACTGTATGGTCTGTGGCTGATTTTACCATAGAGTTTTACCTCAAAACTAGAGTGTTGCTGGGTGACGTTAGCGACGTGATGACGTCACTTCTGGGCGATGGTGTCATGTTGCCTTTCAGGCGAGTTGGGGGTGGGATTTTCCCTCGCTGGCCAGCTGGCTGGTGGCAGGGAAGCACCCTGCAAAAACGGGGTTTCTGCTGCCCTCGCAGGGGTCTGGCCTATATGATAATGCTTTGTGTAAAAAATTGAAGTTGAACTCGTCGTCAACACTCCATGGCCCTATTCTGGTGTGGAGGAAATGGAAAAGTGTACTATACTCAGGGATTTCCCCATTTACCCCCATTTTGTATCACCCCGAATTTGTTTCAGTTAAAAATTACAGTTCATGGTGCAGAGACTCTTCTTAATCAAATAACCTTAATGAAGGCAAATATTGAATAATAGTAGTCAATTCTGGACTGAAGGAAGGACTCCGAAAGGGACAACATTGCTGTTGAAACATCAGGTTTTAAGTTTCCTCCCAAAAAAGGAAGTTAAAGATCAAATTAACAGACCATTAACTGAATTTGAAGAATTAATTTGAAATATAGATAAGGAGGAGAGGAAATTAATTACTAAAATATATAGGATATTATTAAGTTAGGGGCAAATTCTGATGCAGATGATTAAAAAGAACTGGGAAGTAGAATTGAATACTAAATTTAATGACAAGGATTGGAAACAAATATTCCAACAATTTCCTTATAAATCAATTTCTACAAGAGCATGCGTTAAAGGTATCTCAAAGGTGGCATTTGACCCCAGTTAGGATAGTCCATTTAATGAAAATAGAGAATAAAAATTGCTGGAGAGGTTGTGATAAATTAGAGATGTTTTACATATCTGGTGGTCCTGTCCAGTTATAGCAAATTTTTGGAAATCAGTATTTATAGAGATTGGTAAAATAACCCTAGGAACAAATAAAACCTACCATTGAATTAGCAATGCTCAATTTATTTGTCAATGAAAACTCTCAATGTAAACAAAAACATTTATTAATTGTCTTTTAGTTGCAGCTAAGATACTTATTGCCCAGTGTTGGAAGAATGCTAAAGAGATTTCCTTAGATAGATGGCACGCTAAATTAAGAAATATAGTGGCACTTGAAAAATGAATACAATTAGATTAATTCAGGGAAGGAAAAAATGATTTTAAGATAATTTGGAATAGTTTCATAATTTGTTTAATGGATTTCCCAGAATATTGCTCTTTTAAAAATGTTCTTTAATTGGATGGAGCTCCTTATCTGAACATTTGACTAAGGTATTGAACTTAGAGGATATTATCAATCAGAAATGGATTTAATAAATCTATGTTAAATTACAGCCAAATTGGATGGAAGCTTCCCCCCTCCCTTTTTATTTCCCTTTCCTTATTTCCTTTTGTTTCTGGTTCATATATTTTCATGTTTTGTGGGGGATTTTGTAGTTGGTAACAATTACATAATATGATGGCATCATCTATATACTGAATAGGAAATTATCAGATGATTTTGTTTTGTTTTATTTTCTTGTTTGGTTTTGTTGCTGTATGTAAAAATATAAAACAATAAAAAATAATAAAAGAATATTGCTTCGTGCCAGTTGGTTTAAAGGAGAAACATGGCCAGAGACAGGAGGAGCTCATACATAGTTTCTGTCCCACGGTGACTCCCGCCCTCTCCCCAGTTACTGCCTTGGTGGCAAACCTACATGGGGAATGTGAGCATGTGTCACTCACTGGCCCATCTTTTTGATTAAATGCCCTTCTCATTTAGCAGGTTCTCTAATAAACACCTCCTTGCAGCTGTAGAATTGGCCTAGTTGTCACCCTCAAAGAAAAAACAAGGGTCATTCAACGGGTACCTGTCCTAAGGACACTAAAGTCTAAATGCTGCTGGTGGGCAGAGCTAGACAAAGGTGGCAATGGCTGTAAGCCACCCTGAGCCTGCCCGCAGGGAGGGCGGGGTATAAATACAAATAAAAAATAAATAAGTTAGCAACAGCTTTCTCCCCACTTTCCCTGTACTGTTTTCTCAACCTGAAACAGCCCTGAGAAGCCACTATATGTTTTTTATCTGAAGTGTAGTGGGTTAGACGCATGTAAAAACCACGGAGACTGATGTAGTGATCAGCATGGTTTACTAGTACACAGCAAAGACAAAAACTAACGGCCGGCTGGCCAACTATATACACACCTGGGGACGCCCCCCCTAGATCCCGTTGGTGGGTTTAAATCTCCCGCCACGGTCCTATTGGTTCCCAAGTGGAGAGACTAGGAGCCTAGTCCCCATTGTTCTTACAGAGTCAAGCTCTGGGGTATTCGCTGGCCCCTGGTGGCGGTCAGCGGACATAACATTATCCAATTACCGAGTTTCCCTAACAGGACAGAGAGTAGCTCCCCGCCGGTGCCATTTCAGGTCGAGAATAGGGTGTGGAGGGGGCTTCAGTCTCCTTTTCTGCATGAACTGCAGTTCCAATCTGAATCAGGCCCCAGCATACCTGGGAATTAAGTGTTAAAAATCACTGGCTGCTACAAGTCCCAGAGCACTTGCAGTTTGACCAGACCATAGGTTGATCCAGAAAGATGTGATTAGGGCCTCTCTCCCTCCCAGGCTGAGCCACAGGAAGTGAAATGTCTGCTTTACTACTTTTAAGTGCTTTTGTAGCCTCACCATCTCACCCAGGAACTGAAAGTAGGGTTGCAAACCTCCAAGTGGGACCTGGAGATCTTCTGGATTTACAACTGATCTCCAGACTACAAGTCAGTTCCCCTGGGGGAAATGGCTGATTTGGAGGGTAGACTCTATGGCATGATAACCTTGCTGAGGTCCCTCCCCTCCCCAAACCCTGCCCTCTCCAGATCCCACCTCCAAATCTCCAGGAGTTTCTCAACCTGGAGTTGGCAGCCCTAACAAAATCATGCTGCGCAGGTAAGGATGCCAGCCTCCAGGCGGGACCTGGGGATCCCCTGGAATTACACCTCATCTCCAGGCTACAGAGAGCAGTTCCCCTGGAGAAAATGGATACGTCAGAGGGTGGACTCTATGGCATTGTATCCCACTGAGATCCCAGCTCAGTGTAAGTATTTATTACCTTGGTGTTTTACTGGCAGTAGTGGTCAGCTTCTGATTTTGCGCGGAGGTGCCTTGAGTTGTTAATAAACTAAACTGTTTCCTCTGTTGGATGCCTGGATGTTACTTGAGCATTTTCTACTACACCATCACCAGATATAAGACATTACACTGCAGGTGTGACCCCTAGCTAGGAATGGAATGAGCCAGTTAGGGGTGGAGCCTTTAGATGCAGAAGGGTGCAGAATGTGTGGAAAGCATAAGGGGGAAGCAAGACGGCTCTTGTTGGGGAGTTTGAACCTTAATCACACAGGCTCTTAACACCTTGTTTAAGGTAACTATGATTTGTGTATGAAAACTGTTAAGGGAGGGAGACTTTTGTTCCAAATTGTAAAATTTAGAATCTTTTTTTTCCAGGGCCGTGTTATCTAAGGGGGAGTTCATTGGGGACCCTCATCTTTGAAGCCCCTTGAACTGGAGACTTCCTGGGCGGCTGGGCCACCAGCAAGAGGGAAGAGATGGACTTTGGGGGTGGCAAACTGTGAAGGAGGGGAAGGTTAATTGTTTGGACTTTTAAAAGATAATTGTTCTGTTGTGTTACTAAATTCTGTGTTTTTGTTACATGATACCATGTTAAGTGAAAAGTAAAATTTTTAAATCCCCTTTGAATTATTGCAAGATTCATTCCAAGTTCTGCCCCACAAACCCCACACACTGAGGTTTACAAGGCACACCACTTCCAACGCTTCTGGGCCCCAAACATTGCAGAAGATGGGTGCTGGTGGGAGAATTATTTTTCCTAGAAGTTTCTATGTAGTTACTGACATGTGGACTGAGAAACCGCTGATAAACATCCACAGATCACAATTTGAAAACTACGGCTCCAGTCAATCCAGAATGGCCACAGGATACAAGGCATTCCGAACATATGCCCTTTTAACATTTCCCTTGTGAAAAATGTGTGGGTCCTTCTTGCTGAAGAGGTCTGGCTGATCACTATATTTGGGCTAAATAAAACAGGGATCTGGTGGCACCATAACTGAATGCGTGTTTTATTTTACCATGATAGACTAACACACCTGTCTGTGGGATGTGGGAGAGCCAGGCCCTGCTCTGCCACGGAAAGTCACTAGGTGACCTTGGCCCATCATTCTGTCTCAGCCTAACCGACATCACAGGATTGTTGTTATGAGGATAAAACGAAGGTGGAGAGAATGGCATTCTTTCTAGGACGCTTTGAGGTCCACTCTGAGGGAAAAGCGGGGTATAATAATAAGCATCCACATAACTCCTACAGCTATAAAATGTCTGTGCCCTCCGTATCTGCACGCCACATAACTCCTACAGCTATAAAATGTCTGCCCTCCATATCTGCACGCCAGCAATTCAACCAGTCACCCTTTTGCAATCCCCTGCAGACACGGTGGCTGCATCCACCTGGGACTCTTGTTGGCTTTGCACCTGCTTAGCCACAAGGTATAGATAGGGGCTCTGGGGCAAGTGATGCTCTGTCTTCTTGGTGCTTGGGGGGGTCCACAGTGGGAGGGCTTCTAGTGTCCTGGCCCCACTGGTGGGCCTCCTGATAGCACTGGGATTTCTGGCCACTGAGTGACACAGAGTGTTGGACTGGATGGGCCTTTGGCCTGATCCAACATTGGCGTCTCTTATGTTCTTAAAAGCCCTGCTTCCAATGCGGTTTAATAACTGGCAACTCTACGGAGAGGAAATCCTCACTCCCTTCCAAATTAGCAAGCGACTGCTGGAGCCTAGGCGCGAGCAAAGCAACCAACCCCCGCGTCGCTCTTCGACGGGGCTTCAGTCGCGAATACATGTGCAGTTTCAAAGGCCTTGAGATCCTGAAAGGGTTAAAACAAAAATCAAAACTGCAGCCGGGCTCCTAGAGAGGCTCTCAGCTATCCCGGGGGGAGGGGTGCAAATGTCGCCTCGCTTTCCTTTTCCGCCCGAACTGTGAACGGAAGTGCATTTGGCTTTTTTAAAATAGCAGCTGCAAAGGGGGGGAAAGAGGCTGCGGTGCGGAAGAGGGGTGAGTTCGATGCAGCGGAGGGAGGGGGGGGTGCTAAAGGGGAGTGGACAGAAACTGCAGAGACACTTGCGGTTGAAAGCTGGGGCGACCCCGAGCGAGGTCCCTTCCTTCGTACCAAAGCCGCGTGGACCCTTGAAGTTTTAGCCAAGGGGTTCTAGCCTGGTCTCCCTTAGTGGGGAGTCCATTTTCTTTGGGTCGTGCAGTGTTCCCTCTAAGCTGAGTTAGTGTGAGCTAGCTCACAGTTTTTCAGCCTCCAGCTCACAGATTTTTGCTCAGGAAGGATGACTCTAGAGCCAACTAATTTATGCATTAGCCAAATCGCTCGCTCACAAATTTCATGCCAGGAGCTCACAGGGTAAAATTTTTGCTCACAAGATTCCACAGCTTAGAGGGAACATTGGTTTGTGGGGAGCCAATTCGAAACTGGTCTGGGGCTGGTTGCACTAAAACATGCGAGCGCCGCCTTTGTCGCTGTGGCGTGGCTTTCTCAAGACCGCCTGACACGGGTTGGCAGCTCCCTCCCGCTAGGCTAGACTCGGGCATCTGACTGAAACAGCCCAAGGGCTAGAAGCAGATCTTCTGCTTGCGGCGGAAGCAATTGTCCAGCAGGGCTGCCAGTCTTCTGAAAATGGTGTCCTGGCCCATATGTGTGAAGCCGTAACCAGCGGTGGTGAGTGACTGCACCTGCGGCCTTTTACACGCAAGGCTTCTGTGTCCTTAAGCAGTATTCAGACGGACAGAAACGTAGGATCTTGGATAGTGTATTGGCTAAGAGCTTTGAGGCCGTTCAGATCTGGCCTCTATGTTAGACAAGTTGTTAATTCTACGTTGCCCCATTGCAATATGGGCTGAGAGCCAGTGTGGTGTAGTCCTGGGAGACCCTGATTTGAATCCTCATTTTTATCACGGAAGCTTGCGGGGTGACCTTGGGCCTTGTCTGCCTCATCGGGTTGCTATTGTAAGAGGATGGAAGAGGGGAGAAACATGGGTCTCAACTGGGGACAAAAGCAGGACATAAATAAGTAAATACACTTGCACGGGGCAACGTCTTCGGACAGCGCTGGCTCTTCGGCTTTGAAACGGAGATGAGCACCGCAACCCTAGAGTCGGATTTGCACGGGGCAATAATACTGTCCTACCTTACAGGCACTTGTTATAGAGATAAAGCAATAATATATGTGAAGTGCTCAAAATACACTGAAAGCGTGGTAGAAATGTATGATTAGTAAATGTGTTCCGTTGTGTTTGCTCACTTTCTTCCCTCCATCTTGATACACTGGACCATCATACAGCAACCGCCATCTGCACTCAACTGCACTTTATATGTGCAGTGTTTGTTACGAAAATTTTATATTATTGCATTTATGCATCTGTGTTTTATTGTATTTATTGTATTGTGTTGTATTCTAACGTGTTGTACGCCGCCTTGAGCCTGCCTGTGCAGGAAAGGCGGGTCATAAATTGAAAATAATAAATAAAATAAATATATTGTTTTGCCCAATGGCTGTGTTAGACTGTAAGTTCTTTGGAGGGGCAGGCCTTACTAATCCTTGCCCCTCTCTGACGTGCTATATATGTGGATAGTTTTGTATAATAGTAGAAATTAAGTCGGTGAAGTTGGACATCTCGTTTTTTTGCCATGCTGGGGGGAGCTGATTTTTGTTTCTTGTGTGCAGTTGGAAATGAAGAGGAACGCTGAAGGAGGGGGTCAGCAATAAAGGTGAAAACCCCAAGAAGAGCAGCTATGCTTGAAGTAGGTCGATCAAATAAAACTAATAGTCTTTTTCCCCCTGACAGGATCATGTCTGCCCTGCCTGGCCACAGATTTCTCTAAGTCAAAAGACTGACACTTTCTCTCCAGTGCAAGAAACAGAGAGGAGACTCTTGCTGGGATAACGCCAACTGTAGTCTCTTGAGAAACCAAATGACCTCACAGCCACATAAAATGGCCGCTTGTCCAGAAGAAACTACAGGAGCAGGACTGCCATTGCCGATTCGCGTGAAATTGGAGGCCCAGTGCCAAGCAGACAACAGCATGAGAGGAGATGGAAAAGCCCCTTGTACAATCCAGTCTGGGGGCTCTGAGGGGATATTGAGAGCGCCACCTGTGGAAAGGGTGAAGCAGGAGCTGGCAGAGGAACTGTTTCCCAGCTGGGATTGCCAGTGGCAACGGGTGCTGGAGGTGGTGCAGACTCCCATGATTGCCCCAGTATGGGACAATTTACAGTTGCCCCCTCTCCCTCAAGCGGGCAGCACTGAGGCCTACCTGACCACTTTTGAGCGGGTGGCAGATGCTTCCCAGTGGCCTAAGGAAGAGTGGGTGGCTCGGCTCATGCCCATTCTCAGTGGGCAAGCCCAGCAGGCGTATTTTAGCCTGGATCCAAAAGACAAGAGTGACTACGGGAAGGTGAAGGTTGCCATTTTGAGGCTGGACAACTACATTGCCACAGAGACACACCGCCAAGGCTTCAGGCATTTCTGTTACCAGGATGCCGAGGGGCCACGAGGGACGTGCCAGAAGCTCCAGGAGCTCTGCCATCGTTGGTTGAGGCCTGAAAGTCAGACCAAGGAGCAGATCTTGGATCTGTTAGTCTTGGAGCAGTTCCTTGTCATTCTGCCACAGGAAATGCAAAGCTGGATTCGAGAACGTGGGCCAGAGACTTGTGACCGAGCGGTGGCCCTGGCCGAGGAGTTTTTGCAGGAGCGCCAAGTGACCGAGAGATGGGAACAACAGGTGAGGAGCTTCTAAATGCTGGTCATCTTTGGGGGCAAAGAGAGCAGACTTTGACTTTCAAGAAGGAAACTGCATCTTTATTTATGTATTTATTTAAAACATTTAGTAGCAATCTTTCTTCCTTATGGAACTCAAGGCAGCTTACAAAATAGATTAAAATAACATAAGATAGAATACACAAAATAGATTTTTTTAAAAACCCCAAATTTAAAATCACAATTTAGGACTGTCAGTAAATTAATCATATGTGAGCTATATTCAACCAACGCCTAAAGACTGAAAGTGAGGAGGCCAGGAGCACCTCCCTGGGAAATTTGTTCCATAATTGTGGGGCTACCACTGAAAAGGCCCTTTTTCATGTACCTGCCAAATAATCTTGTTTGATTAACGGGACAGTCAGGAGGGCTTCTTCTTGTGAACTAATGGGACAGGAGGGCTTCTTCTTGTGATCTTAATTCCTGGGCAGGAACATATGGGAGAAGACATTCCTATGTGTCTCATGGGCTTTCCTGCCTTCATAGACAGTTATGAATCAGGCAAAAAAAGAAAAGAAAAAAGTAAACTGCCTACGCAGAAGGATTGCAGACTTTTTGATTTTGTTAGGGCAGCCTTGAAAGTCACCGTCTTGTTTTGAAATTTAAAAAGAAGTTAAACAGAGCGTGACTTGGGTACACTGAAGGGGAGAGGAGGTCGATTCCCTCCTCATGTTGTTCTCGGGAGGGGCTGTTCCCCAGGAGCAACATTTCAGGAGGCATTTGGGGCTGCAGCGAGGAGGGGAGGTGAGAAAGTCAGGCTCTGCGGATGGAAAATCCATCCACAGGAATCACAGTGGATCCAAGCCACTGAAATAATTTGCCATGCCCGCTCTGAAAGCAGCATGAATTCCCTTAAGTGTGCGGGGTGTTATAAATCTTTTGTAGTCCCACTCAAAATGTCATGGGGAGGGGCCCTGGCTCAGTGATAGAGCATCTGCTTGGCATGCAGAAGGTCCTAGGTTCAATCTCTGGCATCTCCAGTAACAAGGAGCAGGGAGTCGGTGATGTGAAAGTCCTCTGCCTGAGACTCAGGACAGCTGCTGCCAGTCTGAGTAGACAGTACTGACCTTGCTGGACCAATGGTCTGATTCAGTATATGGCAGCTTCATGCATCCCATAGAGCCAGAGCTTCCTGACCAAGCAGACATGCATGTTGATGCATCTGTACCAGAGCTTGAATTGTGAGCACAGTTGTGTGGCACCGTTGCCACAGATGAGGAAAGTGATGGCGTCAGCCAGAAGTGGGCAGCCTCCGGTTTCCAATTTGACTATGGCAGAAGGAGCATCTTAACTAACTCTGCCCACAGTGGGGGGCACACTTGTGTCGTCGCTGGGTGCAGGTAGAACCACAGTGACTTTACCGTTTTCCCCACCCTGCCTTCTCTCCCATGGCACACACTGATCCAGCCAATTTCTTCCATCTCAAACAATTTTTCTCCTTAATCCAACCCCTGCCCCACATGGCTTTTGTACATGAAGGTCCCATGATTCCCCAACATAGCCTCTGCGAGTGCCAAATGGAAACCCCCCACTCTTTTTTTTTTTTTTAACCAGCAGAAAAGCTGGTTGGATCTAACCCATGTACTCTGTGGATTCCCTGGCTGTCTCCCTTAACGCAGCCCCACACTGTACTTCTTACGGTGGTCACTTTCAACATTCATAGGGGAAACCTCTTCCTGGAACCAAGGGAAATCTCATGCTTTGGCTTTTCAAAATGTCATCAGGGAGTGCCCATACTATTTCAAACTTCTTTGTCCAATCAGATGGGCTGGGAACCAGGCTTTTGTTCCACACAAAATCTAAGCTCTTCTGGATGCCAGATTCCACATGTCCCATTTTAGTTTCTGTGCAAACCAGCTCCCCCTCACTTATAGTGGCAAAGCGAGTGCTGCATCTCAAGAGTTTAGTGACAGTGCTCCTTTTCACCCTGGTTCAACTATCCCAATCCTCCCTGGTTTTGTTTTTCTCCAGATAACTGTGCCTGTTGAGATGGTGATCATAAACTCCCCTGTTGTAGATCAGACTTTGTCTGACACAGCGCAGAGACATCCTCCCAAGGAGACCAGCCAAGCTGACAACAAGGATGATGGCTCCCAAGGTACTTGTTGTTGGATTCTCTGGTGTTGTACAGCCAGGAATCTCTGTCAGCGTAGCAGAGTGCGCCAGGCTTTCCACGCAGCAAAGCTTAGGTACTAAGAGTGCTAGCAGACTTACAAAGTTACACAGAGCCAGTAGTCAGATTTAAAACTAGTAAGAGTTCTTTATGATATGGAACCCTGTTCTAGACAGTATAGATGAGATAGATCCAGGTAGTCAGCCGTGTTGGTCTGAAGCAGTAGAACAAATTTAGAGTCCAGTGGCACCTTTAAGACCAACAAAGGTTTATTCAAGGCTCAGACCTTGAATAAACCTTTGTTGGTCTTAAAGGTGCCACTGGACTCAAGATGAGAGACAGAGATGGAATCTATACTAACTACCTAGGATGGCTTTGGATTTATCCATTGTTCAAAGAGTGTCCTTGCATCATTGTTCAAAGATGGGGAGAAACATGCTTGTGTGAGTGAGAGGAAGTGTGGGGTCAGAAAAGAGGAAATTGCTCCCTCAGGATGTAACACACACCAAAGGGACAGGGGCAATAGAATAAACAGGAAGGATTCCCCACAATCTGCCTGTCTGTCTATCTGACTCTCTTGTAACCCCCCCTCTGGAGGCTGAGACAAAAGGCCAGCGTCAAGTCCTTCACTTCCAACACTTGTAAGTTCTGGGCAGGAAGCCTCCTTGCCATGGAAAAATCAACATCTTCCTGATGCTGAGCAAAAAGGCGGTGGGGGGGAAGTGAAAAGAAGAATATCCATAGGAATGTAAAGCAGGGACTTTATCTAGAACTGGGGAGGGGCCTCATGGGGCCTGAGGTGATCCTCAGTATAGTATGTAGGCACCCAGCATAAAGGTAAAGGTAAAGGTTCCCTTGCTCGAAAGCCAGTCGAATCCGACTCTAGGGTTGCGGTGCTCATCTCCGTTTCAAAGCCGAAGAGCCAGCGCTGTCCAAAGACGTTTCCGTGGTCATGTGGCCGGCATGACTAAACACCAAGGCGTACGGAACGCTGTTACCTTCCCCCCCGAAGTGGTACCTATTTATCTACTTGCAATTTCTTGCTTTTGAACTGCTAGGTTGGCAGGAGCTGGAACTAGAGATGGGAGCTCACTCCATCATGCGGCACCCGGGTCTCGAACTGCTGAACTACTGACCTTCCACAGCCTGCAGTTCAGCGTCTTAACCACTTGAGCCACTGCAGTTCCCTGAGCCACCGCATATTCCACCCCAAATCTTCACACCTAAGAAGCGGATGCCGCTAGTAGGCCCTTGGCCCTAATAGTGAGATCAGCTTCTTAGACCTGAATCACCAGTGGTGGCTGCTGTATGGCACGGTTCCTGCATTGCCTGCATGTGTTCAGAATAATCTTAAGGGACTAGAGACTTGTTTTTAAATTATAACCTGAGCTTCGCTGAATGTTGCACTGGAGACGTTTTGCACTCATTGGAGGCTGGAAAAGCAAAACAAAAACACCTGCCTGTCTACCCTTTACGTTTTGAAACCCACCCTGGAGCGCAGGGTGGTGTCTGAGATTCTTCCCCCAATCCAGTGGTGCCTTGAAGACTAACAGCATTGTTCCATCTAGGGTTGCCAACCTCCAGGTGGTGGCTGGAGACCTCGGGATCACCACTGATCTCCAGGCGACAGAGATCAACTCCCCTGGGGAAAAAGAGCCGCTTTGGAAAGTGGACTCTGTGGCACTAGACCCCAATGAAGCCCACCCGTTCCGCAAATCCCGCCCTTTCCAGTCTTTAGCCCCAAAGCCTCCTGGAGCTGGCAACCCTAGTACCAGCATGAGCTTTTTTATTATTATTGTTTTATTATTATTTATTAGATTTCTGAATCGCCCTTCCCTGCAAGCGGGCTCTGGGCGATTTACAGCATTAAAACAGATAAAATGCAACCAGCGTGATAAGGTTATTACAGTGCACATCAATCCAGACGGCAGTCAGTCCTTTTTGCCCATTGCCATGTGCTCTCTGTGCAGCAGGGTGGGGAAGGGAATGCGGAGCCAAAGGTAAAAAGGGAGGGTGCCAGTTTTAACCCTTGCTGTCCTCACACATTGGAGGAGTGGTCCCGGTCAGAGCTCACCCCTTCAGATGCTATGAAGAAGAAACCATATTCCACAGTTTTATAGGGAAAACTACAGAAGGGGAGGGGGAAAGGGAGGAGAAAGTGAGTGGCCAAAGGAGACTCCATGGTAGAGTGGAGATTTGGACTCAGGTCTCCTTTGTCTGCAGGCAATGCCGTAATTCCAGCTTGTTTACCTGACCAGCCGGATGTTTCCTTCCCAGCAGACAGCAACTTTGCGAGCAGAGCTGGGGCCAAGGAGGTCCACCAGGGAGCGTCCGAGGTGGACGATCAAGGGCGGAGGCCTCAAGGAGGGTTTCGAGAGGATGCCCTCCAGAGGGCTGACCCTAAGAGAACGTACGTGAGCGAGCTCAGCCTGGGAAGGCCGCAGAAGAGCTGTCTCGCCGCGAGGGTGCTGAAGGATAAAGACCTCGACGGGGTCCTTGCCGACCCGGAAGTCAAACGGCACCTGTGTAAGGAGTGCGGGAAAAGGTTCCGCAAGAAGTGGGACCTCATTAGGCACGAGAGAATCCACACGGGTGAGAAGCCCTACCAGTGCCCCGAGTGCGGGAACAGCTTCAATCGGAACACAACCCTCACAAAACACCTCCTCATTCACTCCGGGGAGAAACCCCACCAGTGCGCCTACTGCGGGAAGCGGTTCACGCGGCGCTCGCATGTGGTGAACCACCAGAGACGCCACTCGTGGTAAGAGCCCATGTCCTTCCTTTGCTCCCCTTTAGGGCCTCGGTTCGGAACTAACAGCACATGGGTGAGTCCTGTTACAAGAGGCATGTATTTGGGAGCAGAGCTAAGCAAGATGCTGGGACTTCCATGCATAGGAATCATAAGCGTTGGGTGGGACTTCCGGGGTCATCTAGTCCAACCCCCCCACAGTGCAGGAAATTCATAACTACCTCCCCCCCCCCACGCCCCCAGTGACTCCTGCTCCATGCCCAGATGCCTGATTCCAGTTTGGCTCACCAGCGTGAATGGGGAGGGGGGGGGGGTTGATGTTTTTCCCCCCATGCCTTTTTTCTGACTTGAAATAGCCCCACAGAGCTGGTATTTTGTCCTTAGTTCCTGTATTTTCCCCCAGAACAGAAAATTGCTCCTCCCTGATGCCATTTTGTGTTATGGAAAATGCTGAATGAGTACAATTCTGTGCAGTTAGAGATGTTTGTGAAACAGTATCCATAGGATTCAGGCAGATCTTAGCCATGTCCAAGAAGAAGAAAAGAAGAAGAGATTGGATTTATACCCCACCCTTCACTACCCAAAGGAGTCTCAGAGCAGCTTACAATCTCCTTTTCCTTCCCCTCCTCACAAGAGACACCCTGTGAGGTAGGTGGGGCTGAGAAAGCTGTTTAAGGTGGTCACCACACCTTAAAAAGGATATTATAGCTTTGGGAAAAGTGCAGAAAAGAGCAACTCGAATGATAAAAGGGTTGGAACACTTTCCCTATGAGGAAACGTTGAAGCGCTTAGGTCTCTTTAGCTTGGAGAAACGACGACTGAGGGTTGACATGATCGAGGTTTATAAGATTATGCATGGGATAGAGCAGGTAGGGACCTGTTTCCCAACTTGGGGGACCTGATTGGGTGGATAGGTGGCATAAAATGTTTTAAAATTGCTGAGCATGAAATTGCTGAGCAGTCGGGTTAGAACGGATAAAAGGAAGTACTTCTTCACCCAAAGAGTGATTAACACATGGAATTCGCTGCCACAGGAAGTGGTGGCGGCTACAAGCATAGACGGCTTCAAAAGGGAATTAGATAAGCATATGGAGCAGAGGTCCATCAGTGGCTATTAGGCTATTATTATAGGGGCTCTGGGGCAAGTGATGCTCTGTCTTCTTGGTGCTTGGGGGGGGTCAATGGGGAGGGCTTCTAATGTCCTGGCCCCACTGGTGGACCTCCTGATAGCACTTGGTATTTCTGGCCACTGTGTGACACAGAATGTTGGACTGGATGGGCCTTTGGCCTGATCCAACATTGGCATCTCTTATGTTCTTACGTTCGAGAACTGCTCTTGAGAGAACAGCTCTGAAAGTACTTGTGACTGACCCAAGGTCACATCAGCAGCTGCATGTGAAGGCGTGGGGAATCAAACTCGGTTCTCCCAGATTAGAGTCCACACCCCTAACCACTACACCAAACTGGCTCTCCTGTCCTCTCCTGGTTTCTGGGGAAGGCCCACCCTGGCGCATTTAATCATACCTAATGGGCACTGGGTTGTCTTGTGAGTGGCAACTGCATCACCAGGGTAACACTTGAAGTGGGTCTGGCCCGTCA